TTTTAATAAAAAATTGAACAAAGCATTGACAGCCATCACTCGTAAAATAATTAAAAAACAACGCCAGCGTTCCCTTACAATGCCTTTTAGCAAAGGCTTCCAAGTTTTCCATTTTCCTAGCTCCTTTTTTCTGAATGTTTTCACCTTCTGTCAGAACACTGATTTTTTGTACTGTTAAACAATCCTCAAATAAGTTTTCTCTTTCTTTAAAAAAAAAGGTGTATGACTAACAAATCGCAAATTATATCCTTCTGAAATCTTACCACAAATTTTATTTTCTTCCCCCATGAAATACACAACTTTTAAAAAATGGCTGCCGCTTACATTTTTACCAAAGCCAGGTTTCTAAATATAAATTCGCAGTAAAGTAAACAGAAATATTGGATGATGGTTTGGACTTTTTTCTCCTACAAGAATTGTTTTTTTTTATTATTAAAACAAGGCGATCATTTTCATATTTTTTTTAATAAAATGAATAAATATCACCGTCATTTAAACCTTGAAATTGCCGGACTTAATTTTTTTCACTCAACGACTTTTGTTTTTAAATGAAAAATTCCCTCAAAAATGGGGCTCTCATGGGGGAAAAGATTTTAATTTTAAAACGTTAAAATTATGGAAATTTTCGTTTTAACTTGTTTTAAAGCATAAAATTAAAAAGAAAATTTGTCTGTTTGTTGTGTAAGATGTTAATTTTAAATTTCATCTCGTCGAAATTTTAAAAAACAGTGTATTCTCTAATGGGTTGGCTACGCCACTCGTGGAGAATACTGTTTTTAAAGCCCCACTCGATGAAATAAAATTTCATCTTACACACAAACAAACAAATATCCTCTATATTTTTTATCCAACTTGACATTTCTAAGGTTTTTTTTTTTTAATTTGTTAACCATCAGAGAAAGCATTGCTTACACAGATTCCTACCGTGTAATTTTTGGGAAATTTTTACAAAATGAACCCAACAGCTAAAAGCTTTTTAAGGTCACCCCAATTTATCTTCTGTCAGCTTTAATAAAAATCAGTAGAAAAAGCGTGACAAATCTTTTTTGGCCGTCAATAACCTGTGAAAAAAATTCAAAACCCCTGAACATTATTTGCATTTTACAAGGGTTTAAAAAACCCGGGGATGACCCTTTAAATTGTACTTGTTTAAGCACGTCTTAAACTCCAAAAAATGCAAACATGTTTAAATTTTTTTGAAAAAAAGAAAATTTTTAAATTTTCTCAAAGAAGCTAATGTAAAATGGGTTGGTAAAATGCGAATACTGATTTATTTAATTCCCCGTAATAGCTACTTAAACCCCAAAAATTTTACATTAATTCAAGAAATATTTGGGAGGAATTGGGCCAGTCAATAACCAGAATTTATCTCTTAGACAAGAAAACCAATTTGGCCCTGCCGATTGTTTGAACATAAACAATTCGTCAATCTGGGCAGAGGATAAACATCTTTTGTGGTCAAATCATTAATTTTTCCAGTAATCGAAACAAAAACCATCCTTTCTTCTGGACGCATAAATATACCATTAGCCAAGAAAAGAAGATGGTTGAATTAAACATTTTATTTAAACATATATTTATATTTGTTGTTCAAAATTACTCGGTATTTCGTATGTTACTGAAAATTTCTTCTTCAAAAAAAAAACGGTTTTTGCTTCATAAAATTTTTGGCATTTCCAGTATGTAAATTCTATGTATTATGATAACAAATTTTCACAAGATCTTTCAATCAGTTTCCGAAAAAAGTATCTGAATCTGTTTTTATAAGGGCCCTTTTTGCTGCTTTTGGTGCTATAGACACCTGCTTTCACAGTACAAATCAGTTTAGGCAAACATGGTTAAATTTCCTATAGCTTTGAAGTGTAGAAACCATTGTCATATTAATAGAAACCTATGCTTAAATCAGCAAACATGAAAGTAAACCTGGAACTAAATAGCATGCGTTTTCCGTTCTTTAAATTCATAAATGCACAAAGACACGTATGAGTTTTGTAATAAACCCAAGTTTTGGGCCCTCAAGTCCGTAATCAACATGGAAATGATTTTTAAAGTTTAGTTCAAAAGTAAGAATTTTTCCAAATTTGACTTTTTAAAAGGTGGATTATTTATCAATTTCAGTCATGGGAAAGGAAAGGTGTTAAGCCGATAGCAACCTACTTTACCAAGTGGTTCAAAAGGCAACTATGACCTTTTTATCATTTTACAAAACATTTTGAATGATCTAGTAAACATTTGTTGTTTAAAAGAAAATCTGGACCAAAGATTGTTTCCACATCAATATCAGCAACAAAACTTTATTCACATAACAAAGTACATGTACACCCTTTAAGTTCCAGAAACTATCGTTTTCCCTTTAATGTTAAAAGGTTCTCCAGATGCTGTTTATATTTGAGAAGAGAATGGAGCGTTGGTAGTTGTACTAAAGTTTGAAATAAGATCCCGAATATTTGTAGATAGAATCGATAAAGTCGCTCCAGTATAAACTTATTTGTTTCAAGTTTCAACATCATTTATCTTACAGTTTAAATACAAAAAAAGCGCATAAAGATCAACAAGGCAAAGGCAACGTTCTAAGGACGGAGCCCCGACACACCCAAGCCACAATAGCAATCACTCCAAAGGCACAAAACCAGAATATGGAAAGGACACAAGAGCGGCGAAAGGAGGGAAGATAACGCAAAAAATGAAACGATAAGAAACAAAAGGGGGCCTAAATGGGAATTAAAGGTACCGGGGGAGGGGGGGGGGAGAAAATACTTACCGTAAACGACATTTTAACAAGGTAAACATCACAAAACATGCAAACACCCAAAACATGTAATAATAAACACATGTGAAAAACGTGAAGGAACACAAAAGGGTACTCCCTTAGAACGTTTAGTAGTAGATTCACCACTGGGGAGTTTAAACCAATTTTAGGCGGCCAAACCTCGCTCTGAGCCAAAATATGTTCATAAATGGCAAGGAAGTGTAAATTAAATGAATCCCCGCCAAGTGAAATTCTAATAGTGGCCATGGTTACATTAACAAAATAAATGAACTGCATTATTGAAAACTTGATAATAATTTGCTACGCAAACGTCTGTCTGATCAATGTTGAAAATCTAGACTGGTTCTAACTTAATAGATAATGAAACGCTTAATACAAATAAGATCCACGTAGCGTACAAATTATTATCTTAAAGTTTATATGATTTTTTATCACTCGGTTTTACTTTGTACTAGGACATATGTTTCCCTTTTACAGAGATCGCCACTACATAAAGATTTTAAATACACCCTAAGCTTAGACAATCTGATAAATACTTGAAGATATATATATTGTCATCTCGTATGTAATAGCAATATCGAATGTATTTTCTCTTTCAAACACAAATATAAGATGAATGTCGCAGAATTGGTTTTTTTTATGTCTGTTAAAAGTACATGTCTCATTCTCAAATCATTATGCACATGCTCAAAGTACTTAATTTTCAATATTAACAGTATTTCAATTGAAGATCCAAAGGAACTTTCAAAACTAACGGTATTTGAATCAATGATCCTAAGGAATTTCCAACACTAACGGTTTTTGAATCAAAGATCCAACATGTCTCATTCCCCAAATCATCATGCACCTGCTTAAAAGGTACTCATTTTTCAACAGTAACGGCATTTGAATCAAAGGTCCAAATGATTATTTGCAAAATTAACGATATTTGAATCAAAGATCCCAAGTAACATTCAACACTAACTGTATTTGAATCAAAGATCCCAAAGGAATCATAAAAATGAGCAAATTTGAGATGAATCACGGGGCATCACTATACAGCTTTTGCACAACACTCGGTTAGATTGAGTCTGTAAATAAGTGTAAGATCTCTCATTTGGCAATCTGAACATCAATGCTGTCAGACCAGATATATTTATTATGAAAATGCCTATAACTTCTCGTAGACAACTTTATGCTCTATAAGCATCACAGGTGAAGTACATTTTTTTTTTCAAAACAAGGCATTTCGATATATCTATCATGAATTAAGACTGACAATTTGATTACAGAAATGCACACATATAAACATATATTTATATATTTACATCTATATTTACATCTAAGTAGCATAATTATACAATTTAAATTTAAAAGTCAGCACACAAAGAAACTAAATACATCTAAGTATACAAACAAGATAAATACATGAAAACTCGTAGTTTATTTGGTACTATAATAATGAATGTATGTCAGTAAGTACAATTATGCTAGAACAAATTAAATTTCGCTTAAAGCCATTAGAATTTGATTTCATGACAATTGTTATTGCCTGTAACCTTTAATGACATGGTTTTATACTTGATTCCACATAACAAACACGTATGACTTATAAAGTGTAGAAGAATGTTTCATTTAAGTTTCCATGTCATATAGATGTTGCTTATTCACTATATTTATAAAGTTTCTCAATAACTCATTGTGCCTATATTACAATATCAGTTTTACATAACATCGGACAGTTTTTTAAGGCAAACTTGCTTTTGCAAACGATACATCACTTTGTTTTAGATAATGACGAGAAAATAAAAGTTCATGTTATTTACAATGCGGATATCATTCTATCCAACGGCATTTTAGGACTATATGATTTTCTTTTCAAGCGCCCTTATATCAGCTCTATGGGCCGCAAGGAGTGCTTTTTTTCTTTCATCACATTCTTTCACAGAGCTTTGATCCACAGGCGCACCCATGAAAGCATATAGCTCAGGGAGTTGTTTCACGCTCTCGTCAACGTAGTAACTACACATAATCCCAAATGAATTCCACACCTATGGCAAAAGATAAAAGACAAAGAACAATATTTCTTTTAGAAAACAGCGTTTTAATAGTTTTAATAGATCTTGCACTGTTATTGTCTTTCGATGAAACAACTATACAATATAAACTTATGTGTAATGTGTAGAAATTCCAAATTGTCGTCGTTATATTATTAATATTATTTAACGATACAATCACATATTTTAAAAATGTAATGTTTTTAGGTCTAACCTGATACATAAAGTTTTTATATCGGGCTTTTAATTAAGAAATTATTTTTTAAACAAATATTTTGTTACAATTCTCACGTTTGATTGACTTGGCAAGAATGTATGGATATACCTTTATGTCGAAATATTGTTTAATGGAGGTATTTTTGAATGCTGGTCCTTCTTTAAGAATTTCAAATATAAATTAGATGAGTGGATGAAAATAATGTAATTACTTTTTTCACTTGTAGTACTGAGTCGTCAATATCTTCGGCTAGATCAGGGTCATTTACAAACTCTATGAAAAGTTTGACTCCGTCATGTGCGTTTTTCAGTGTTGTTAATTTTGCTGAAAAATCCTCCCAGAACAGTAAAATCTTTCCAAATAGCTGTGCAACGTTCCCTATTTCTGTTCCAGCCATTTTAAGACTTTCCTCATTCATAAGATCCGCTGTTAAAAAGAATGAGCTATTAACACGTTTACTTTCTTTTTCAAAGTGTGTGGGTTTTTTTGCTAATGTTATGGCGTAAATTGATAGAAATAACAAAATTTTAGATTTAATTGAAAAAATGAAATTTTATAGATATTGAAATTAATAATAATTCATTATGCTTAAAGGCACATATGCCTTATAAACCTTTTATTTTTTCTTAAGAAAAGGCAACGTTCAAGTGATGATAAATGTAGCCCTGAATGAGAAAAAAATGATTATAACAGTAACAAAATTAAAATAGAGTATTATTTTGACTTCCTTTAAAATACTGAATAACTATAAGTGTACTAAGTACCAAAAAGGATCAAAAGCGACAATGTAGTTGGCCAATGAGGTTCTTAGAGTTATGTGTTAAAAGCTATTACTGAACAAGAAAAATAAAAGTGTTTATGAAATGAAATTAAAAAAAAACATTTTTGGGTATAATGGCCTCTAAAATGTATTTTAAATACATTTATCAATTGCTAATTTTCCCATTGATTTAGGGCACATTTTACAAGTCACTCAATGGCCAATCACCTAATATTTATTTTGTGTCTGTTGCTATATGGGAATAAGTTTAGTTATTTTCATTTAGTATTTTGCATGGATGTCAAAATACAACACTATGTTTACAGTCTGTTACTGTTATGATAAATATTTTCACAATCAGCGCCCCTTTCTTCAGGAAATAAGCATCAAATATGCTTTTAAACCATTATTGAAACATTTTAAAAAGTAATGTTTGTTATTACTATGTAAGGGAAATTTTGAGGCATAGGCTGCCTTAAAGATTATAGTTCTGCATGAACTCGCAAGCATCTAAAAGAATGATATTTAATTACTGGCTTCCTTGTTGTTGTTGTTTTTTTTTAAATCAAACAAGCGTTCCTACTACTTGCATCAGCCGATCGAAGGGATGATTTATTTTCTTTGAACATAACAGTACTGTGAATTAAAATCGTTTTAATTTTTTTTTTCTGATCATCATCTGAACGTAAAAATAATAAAACATTAACCGTTTTCAAGGGCTAATCTTTCCATAGCTGCAAGACCTTCTATAGCTTCTTCTTTCATTCTTGCCATCCGCCTCTCATTTTCTTCAATTCTCTGTTGTTCCACATCTATATCACGTTTGGTTTCTGCACTAGCGTTTAGGGCTTGTTGGCTCTGAATATAAAGTTTTATTTCACACCTTATAAAAAAATAGCAATAAAATTTCAAAGTTTTAACCACGCGATGATCCTCTAGGAATCATTATATGAACCAGTCTTATCATTTTAGCCTCGCTTTCATTATATACCAGCGTTGTAACCATTTTTAGCAGATGTGTTGCAGCTAGATATAGCAGATGTGTTGTAACTTCATACAGCAACTGTGTTGTAACTTTATACAACAGCTGTGTTGCAATTTTATGTAGCAGCTGCATTATAACTTTATAGAGCAGTTGAAACTTCATACAGCAGTTCTGTTATAACTTTATACCACAGCTGTGTTACAGCTGTGTTGTGAGGAACTCACACCTTATCATTTTACAAATTTAATCTTAAATTGCTTTGTAAAACTTGTAGTCCAGGTATTAACGCAAAATTAAAGTAAATACAAGCTCGTCAACACAACGAATTGCTTAAATATTATTTCAAACATATGAGTACAACAATTCTTTGCTAATCACTTACCGCTTTTGTCAGTGCAATGAAATTCATAACGTATTACGAACAACGATCAGACATATTATAATGACTTTACTTTGCAGAAACATTATATAGTGTTTCAAAAATTCAGTCTGTCAGACATTAAGCATGAAAGAAAGACTCTATGCATTTCATTTGTCAATACTAAAATGATATTATGAACATATTTGTTTTCTGTATCACAAAACTGTTTGTTTAAGTAGTAAATGACATGTACAAGTATTGGTGAACATTTATTACCGCCTGGTCCTTTCTTGTAGTAGTAGCAGTCCTTACACCATCAAAAATCATTTTCCCGGTTTCAGCGCCTCCAAAATAACCACCAACTGTTGCCATTCCAGCTGTAAAAAATTCCTTGAAAGAGTCCATAAGTCCATAAGTTTGAACTGAAAATGATGCAAACAAATTTAAAGTAAAAGACATTTGAAATTTTAAAAACGATATAATAAAAAACAATATAAATAATTACAACCATAAAACCTTAAAAGTATGCATAATATGTATCGAAAGCTATATAAAGAAGAAAATTCCATTTAGTTTGTCTTGAATTTATATTTCTGCAAAACTTTATGTATATATTATTTCTTTTTCAACTCGAACATGTATTTTTAGAAACTAATTTGTTGCAAATATCGCATTCCAATGTTAGAAAATATGTGAAGAAAAGATATGACAATGTCCTTTACCTGAGTCTCCTATAAATTTCAACCGTTTTGATTTAAGTTTCTGAAGTTCTTTTTCTTTTTCTTTATTCTTTGCCTCAAGATTAGTCACGTCCTTTTTCTCCGATTCTAATTTGAGTCTTTTCTGCTGCATTTCAGATGAAATTGTACTTTTTCTGGTTTTAATATCTTTGTTTTTCTGGTCAATATTCGATATCTCATTATTCACGGCGGTCTTTATGTTATAGTATCTTTAAAACAAAAAAATTTTGTTGTTCAGTCATCTTCAGTCAATCAATCTTTTGAAAAATTAAGTCAATTAAGCTCATTTTCACAATAAAAAAAGAGCACAATGTAATTTTAATAATAAGATATGGAACTCTTAGTCGGAGGTGTACTGTTGAGATAAAGTATAAAGCATATAGTTATAATATTTTTGTTTAATTGGGTTTTACGTCACACCAACACATTATAGGTCATAGTTATAATAATAATAACAATCATTGTATACATTTTTATATCAAAACTTTCTTATAAATCTGAATGCCTTATTCAGAAGAGTACTTGTGACAAATGAAATATATAAAGTCTGCATATGTAGTTCAACACTCCTTTATTTGCTTGTGATGTGGTTATATATTTTGCCTATATATTGTTGCAATTAAATTTCTAATAAATAATATAAACATACTCTTGTATTGTATCCTTGGTTTTCTTGACCATGTCATCCACGTAAGTCAACACTTTGTCCAAACCTTTCATGACTAGCATTTCTTTCTATGTTACAATTTAGCACAAAAAATTAAAACAACAACAACAAAACAGCCTAGGCAATGATAACGTGAAATTTCACTGAACAGTTTTATTCGTGGCATCATTGAAAAATGTTGCAAAATCTATTTTTCTGAAAGTTCTGATGTACATTTTCCTTTAAACATTTTAAATGATTTTTCAGGATAAAATTTAACGTCTAAAGAAGGAAAAAGTCAATTTAATGTGCCGTGTCCTATACATATCTACATACTTAAAAGAAATGATAAAAGGTTAACCTTTTTCTTTATTCCAAGTTCTATAATTGGAAGCATTGTTTTAACCACGTGTATCGCTGTTCCTTCATATTCTCTCACAAGACCATGGGTCTTTAAATGCTGGTTTTGACAATCATTAGCTGTATTGCGTACCTGCAGTAAAGAGGAATGCGCTTGCCAATTTAGGTTGATCTTATTTATTGTTCACATTGGTAAAGACTTCACAGAAAATATAATTTGACTATTATAGAAAAAAATCTTGAAAACAATATCTAACTGACTGACTGACTGACTGACTGACTGACCGACCGACCGACCGACCCAATCACCCACCCAATCACTCACTCACTCTTTCACTCACGCACACACTCACCAACTCACACGAGCGAACACCCACAAACGCACGCACGCATTCACGAACTTCTTTACTCGAACACCCATATATACACTCACAATATTGCACGCACGTATTTTTTACGTATGAAGACAATGTTAATTTGAGATAAGTAGTCTGCCGAGTGTTTTGGTGTTCTTTCTCTTTTGTATCATAGTCAAACATAAAAGCACGTTCCCTGTTGTCACAATATGAAACCCCGGCAAAAATGAACCAATGAACGAACATCTGAATATGACATTTCTGTCGCTTTCCCTTTTCTCTGCCGTCACAATATGTAAACCTTAATGTTATCGCCTTTAGAAAATCGTATCAGAAGTGTAAGATTTAAACATACCTGTCTTGCTATTTCTGGATCATCACGAAGTGCAAGGTATGCAAGCTCTAGAAAACGGGCAGCTTCCTTTTGAGACAAAAGCAGCTCGAACAACAAATTTGACTCAAAAATCTCAGTTGTACTTTTCACACACTGTGTGTTCTGTAAATGAATGACGTTCTCGCATTAATTTTAAAAACATTTCTAATATATTTCTGTTAATATAAGTAATAGAAAGAGCACCGAAACACGAGGCTATCTGATTTGTACGAGGGGGCGTAGCCCCCGAGTATTAATCAGATTGCCGAGTGTGTTTGGTGTTCTTTCTCTTTTGTATCATAGTCAAACATAAAAGCACGTTCCCTGTTGTCACAATATGAAACCCCGGCAAAAATGAACCAATGAACGAACATCTGAATATGACATTTCTGTCGCTTTCCCTTTCTCTGCCGTCACAATATGTAAACCCCAGCAAAAATGAGCCAATCAATGGGCATGTTCTGGAGTGCGGGTAACTAATACCCGCACTCCAGTTAACGCACTGTGCATGTACATGTATACGATTTAACCCTGACACATTTTCAACAGAAAGGTCTCCAAACTATGATACAAGAATCAAATATCAGCAACGGAGATTCAAACATGCAACTTCTTAGATCGCTGTGCTTTCCCCCACTAGGTATTGTGTTTAAGGTAAATATATGCATAGTCAGCAGCATTGAAAGTAATGCATTGTAATAATCATGGAAACGAAGGAAAAACTTATTGAATGATTAATCGGTCCAAGGTCAAGATTTTAGTTTCGCTTTCGCTTTCTATTTTAGGATAATTTAAATATGTCATAGCGTTTTCTGAAATCATTATTCAAATAGATATCAAGACTGAGTGCACTTGTAATCTTTGTGCGGTGTAAAGTACATGTATAAGTAGAATTATGTAAGTGCGTAATAACTGACAGTTTAACACAAATAAAACACTTGACTTTAGCTTATCTGTTTAAAAATTTGTCAACATTAACGAAATTATTCATTTAAACTTTGAAATGTGTGCTCAATGGCAAATAATAAATTCGGAGATGAACAATTGTGTTATCGAATCTAGCTCAAGTTTCCTTATTGAATGATCTTAGTGTAAAAAAAAATCTTACAATGTACGACACTACTGAAATTAGCTATTTGAAAGATGAGAAAAAGAAGAAAAGAGGAAAATGTAAACATATTCTTTATTCATCTATTTTGCTTAAAATTATTAAAATAGAAAAAAATGTAAATAAATAAATAAAAAATAAGTAAAAAAAAAGAATAAATAAATAAAAAATAAATAAAATAAAATAAATAAATAAAGATCAGACTTATTTTAAGTAGCCGTTAAAAAGAAGAATTTCATTTTTTGTAAAGACCTATTACAAGATCATACTTTGAAGTGTGTTCAAACTCTACGAAGTGGTTAAGCAGATATTATTTAAAGAAATTGTGGAAAACGCCAACGGGCAGCCGACGGAAGCTGGTCACATTGACATCAAAAATGTACATATTGAGCAATGTATATTCATTTAAGCTAAAACAAACTTAACATACAAAAGTTCACTTGCTTATTTGATAAACAGAACTATATTAAAACCCGAGAAAGATAATTAGACACAAAACTAAATGATCTATATAATTATTATAATGATAAACGGTTTAATTGTAAAACATATATATCATATATATAAATATATATGCCCTAAAATTTGAGCATGTTGCTTCGTAAAATCAAGATTAATTTAAAAAAAATCAAGGGGTAGGAAGAGTAATTGAGCCGCATCACGACAAAACCAACGTAATGCCTTTGCGACCAACATGGATCCAGATCAGCCTGCGCATCCGCGCAGTCGCATCAGGATCCATGCTGTTCGCTATCAGTTTCTCAGTTCAGTTTCAGTTTTTATTAAACCAAGGCATATAATATGCAACTGGTTATAACAACAAACAAACAGAAAAATAACAGTCAAAAATCACTAATATCACAATATAAGAATACAATTATGACTAGCTAAATAAACAAAAAAGGAGATCATATTGTTCATTTCAAGTACAGTACTGAATTCAATTATTTTGTGACAAATGGGAACGGAGAATGAGAAGTATTAATTATCTTAATTTTAACATAATGTTTTTACAAAATAAAGATAATTTTAGTGAAATCTTTTTATCACAACTATTCATTAATGTGTCAAGTTTAAAAATATCTACTTGTTATAGGGTTTGTAAGCGAACAGTATGGATCCTGAGCAGACTGCGCGGATGCGCAGGCTGGTCCGGATCCATGCTGGTCGCAACGCATTACGCATTACGTTGGTTTTGTCGTGGCGTGGTCATTTATACAAACACAGTAAGCAGCATTGAAAGATAATGCATTGTAATAATCATGGCTTGTTGAATGATAAATCAGTCTAAGGTCAATATCTTAGTTTCGCTTTCGCTTCTATTTTAGGATAATCTAAATTTGTCATAGCGTTTTCTGAAATCATATCAAGACTTAATGCACTTGTAAACTTTGTGCGGTGTAAAATGCATGTATAAGTAGGATTATGTAGATGCGTAATAACTGACAGTTTAACAAAACAAAAAACAAAAAAAACAAACAAACAAACAAAAACTTGACTTAGCTTTATCTGTTTAACAATGTGTCAAAATTAATAAAATTGTTCATTTAAAACTTTTAAATATGTGCTCAATGGCAAATAATGAATTCGGAGAAAAACAACTGTGTGATCAGCATTATTATGAATACAATTTGAAATCCTACATTGTACGATTATACTGAAATTAGCTTTTTGAAGAATGAGAAAAAGAAAGAAAGAGTAAAAAGTAAACAATTTATTTATCTTTTTTGTTCAAAATTATTAAAATAGAAAACACAACCTATATTGTTATCGCCTTTTCGTCCTGTCGCAAGCGAAACGCGCAAAACGGCGCGTTGTCGCACTGTCGTCTTGTCGCTAGCGAAGCACGTGTAACGGCGCTTTGTCGTGCGGCTCGTTGTTGCGATATCGCGCGGTCGCTTGTTTGTTTGTTTCATTTTACGCCTTTTCCCAACAGTATTTCAGTCATATAGGCGGGTAGTTTCCTAACCATCGTTCCTGGAGAGTTACACCAGTACTAGACTACCTTCCTCCGTGCTAAACTACCAAAGCATCTCCCGGGGATCGAACCCACGCCAGAGAGGTAACTGGATTAGAAGTCATCGACTCTAACCCCTCGACCACGGAGTCGGTCCCAGGTCGCTTGACGAAAGTCCGACAACGCGCCGTTTGACGCTTTGTCTTGCTCTCACTAGCGACAACACAACGCACAAAAGTGTTACAAATCAGCCACTACATAAAAGGCAACCTCAAGATTATCTTTGTAGGTCAAATTCTGCTACGTGGTTTAGGAGATATTGTTTAAAGAAATTATGAATAACAAGACCGGGTGACCGACGGACGCTGGTCACATTGCCATCAAAAATGTCCACATTGAGCACTGTATACATGTACTCATTTGAGCTTAAAACAAACTTAACAAACATAACTTCATTTATTTATTTGATAAAAGAAACTAAACTGAAACCCAAAAAAGACAGTAAAACACAAAACTAATTGATCTATATAATCTATTTTAATGATTTAAACATTTACAGTGAGTTTTAATTGTAAAATATATATGATATATAAATAAATATGAGCTAAAATTCGAACATGTGGCATCGTTAAATCAATTTATTTCAAATAAAATCAAGGGGTAGGAAGAGGTATTAAAATCCCAACTTTCCGCCCCTTTGAATAATCGCAAAGGTTTATCATGTTTTCAGTTTTATTTATAGAAATGTAAATATGTCTGACTTGCAATTTTCTGAAAATACATTTTGTTAATGTTGAATGATCGAAACCAAAAGAATTTTCAATGACGTTCTGTGTATCGAAAATAAAACCAAGTAAAGAAATGAGTTTGTTATCTTAAAGATAGTGGGTCACGTAAACATCCAAAGATACTAGGAACCGCTGCTTAGCCGGGTATTCAAATTTCATTTCCGTGGAATAAAAAGGCTAATGTTTCTCCATTTAGGGAATATTTAGGATACTTTAACACCGCAGAAACCTGGGCTTCCTACATGTAAGAAGATGGTTTTTGAACCGCGCCATGACAAAACCAACATAATGGGTTTGCGACCAGCATGGATTCAGACCAGCCTGCGCTTCCGCGCAGTCTGATCAGGATCCATGCTGTTCGCAAACCCATTATGTTGGTTTTGTCATGACGCGGCTCAGTTCAAGTTAAAAAATTATATTGGTAACCCGACAAGAAACATGACGGTTGGCGTGCCATGTAGTCCCCTCCCATCCCCTAAAATTAGATCTTTTTTTGGCTTGCAGCATATGGAAAACTTGTTCCGGTAAGGTGGTTTCCTGCTTACATCTGTTGGTGCATGATTGAACGGGAAACCAGCCGCAATCGTGCCAATCGCAACCTTTCGGCCTTTTCCGTCACTCTTCGGATTAATGATAATAGCCGATGTAGTTCCGGTTGCAAGTGTGACAATTCGGGCGATTCCGTCATACTGCGGAATCAGACGAATTAATATAACGGAAATGTAAGCTATTTTAGTTACTTCGGTAATCCCAGTTTGTTTATATAAATAGGATTTCTATTTTTACTTGATTACCGTAATAAATTATAAACGAAATTGTTCCGTTTCAATTGTTTTTCAAGACGCAAAAGTAAGTTTCTTTTATAATTGTTTATTGTCTGTATTAGTTTTATACAATAGAGAATGGTAGTAGTATTCCGTCTTCAAAGGGTGGTCCTGCTTACCAAATCACACATGATCGAGTTATATTTAGATCTACTGAACTGGTGAGGTAATCTAAAAATAGCCCATGCATATCATTAACCTTGCCACATAGCGCATCGTCTATTTGTGATCGTGTAACATAGTTGATAAATACATGCTTATTAATTGGTACCACGTAACGAAGTATTTTAGTGCATTTACTTGTCTATAAAGCAAAGGAATGATTTCGCTGCTAAAAAGGGGAAATGAAATGTGCACACTTGTTTTCCTTCAGTATCACGTTAGTATTTTTACGATTGATAATTTTCTTTATTAGTTTTATACAATAGAGATAAGAGAACTAAATAAACCCTTTATGATATACAAATACCGTAATTAAAAAAAAAAATGTGATAATAAATTGAACCCCCCCCCCCCCAAAAAAAAAAAAAAAATTTTAAAGGGTTGGGATGAAGGAACAACTGTGCAAGCCTTTCCTTTTAAAAGGAAACTTTATTATCGTGTGGTATTAAATTCTCCATTATGGGGGGGGGGGGGTAGGGCAGCCAGTGTACATATAAGTATATGCTAGTGTTTATTAACAATTAAGATGTCAAATGAAGCGACCGACAATTGTATATGTCGCGTCCGGGAAGTGCGACTTAAAGCTACAATAATGTTATTACGAATAAAAAGTATAAATATTATGATGTTACATATATGGCATAAATGGTACAGTGATACCTTTACAAATACCTTAAAGGCACATTATGCCTTAGAAACGAATCCATTTTAATTCTTTTGAAAGGACAATGAAGTTCATTACGTTTATATGATGGTTTTGGAGCATGTGCTATGCTTGTTACCTGAAGAAAGTAGCGCTTAATTTGAAATAATTTGACATAGAAGCAGCAAAATGTAAATATTTTTTTATTTTGACTTCCATACTAAATCACTATAACTGTACTAATTGCCAAAACGCAACAGAAGAAAGAGATATTTCAGGTACTTTGTCAATGACTACTGCTTTAAACACTACAAAAGTACAATAAAATTAAAACAAAAACTTTTGAGAAATAAATATAAAAGCATCTCTGGGGCATAATGGGTCTTTAAAATAGGAAAAAGTAAATGCTGTGTTATACAATAAAACAAAATGCTTATAACTTCACTTATATAAATAATATGGTGCAAAGCAGGGTCTTTCAAATTTGAAAGACCATGTGCAATGTCAAAGTAAACTAAGTTTCTGAAGTTTGCATAATTTGTATAATTAAAAAGTTGCCGACATATGAAGGTACAACTTTTTAAATAATTCAAAATGAATGCATAATGTATTAAAGAATGAAAACAAAGACCATCAAGGCATTTAGCAGCAGGGCGACAACAAAAAATTAGGCGAGTGCACGAAAAACCGCTTGCCCATGATGCACTTTGCTATGCTGATACGCTTACACGATGATGAAAATACAATGGCATGATAATGAAGTCTCAGTGATGCGTTAGCGCGACGAAACGCTTTGTGATATCTCATTTTATCATCATACTAAAGCACTTTCACCATGGTGCCCCGGTACAATCATGATTTCACCATCGTACCATGGCAATTTCACCATCATAACAGTGCGTTTTCACCATCGTAACATCACGTTTCCACCATCGTTTAATTGCGTTTTCTCCATCGTTTCATAGTTTTTTCAGCATCGAAACATCGCGTCTATAATCGCCATAATAAGTTCCTCCCTTTCTCCCGACTCGGCTAAGGGCTTGGTCACAATAATTTTATAAAACGCATACGGAATGAGAAGCATTAAAGAAAGTAAACTGCTATCTGTTGATTCCATAGAAATATTAAAAAAATTAAGACTGCATGGACAGAAAAATGGATAGAGGGCAATTCTGTATTCTCTTCGGTGATTCGGCACGGGGCTCATAAATGATAAAACAAAACAGTTGTATCTTTAGGTATATACATGAATATAACAATGTTGTTGTTTATGTTGCTATTTTTAGAAGAAAAAAAAACTTCATTTATTTGTGTTAAGATTTATTCTCTAAGATTCAAAATCATTTTGAGAAGATATCAGCGTTAGTATGCATTTTTGTATCTAGAACAAGGCTATAAAATAACACTTATTATGTGTCAATAACTTTTGGTTTCACACAATATCCTAACAAGTCATCAGAAATCAATTTATCACAAACACTTACAATTAATAAATGATATATGATAAAATCTATGCACCTTTGCTAGATACACAATGTATCTGTACATCGTATGATTCAGTCGCCATTACAAAATAATATAGTAAATATAAATACCTGCTGAACCAAGTCTTGTGAAGCCGACATGTTCCCCCAACTTTACCTGTACTGTGAACTCGTTATTGCTCAATACCGTTTATGTAGCAAAAAAAAAGCGAGGAAATCCCCTCCTTCTTCCAATGTAAAGTTTTAGTTTCACCTATGTTTCGTTGTTGTTTCTACTTTCTTTATCGTTTCCACTGATAACGATATTGCAGTTTCGGTAGCATAAAGGACCGTTTTTCTAATGTAAATCAATTAGAGAAATTGAAAAATTGGATAAATATGGCACTGGTATGATACTTGAATGTTTTGACTAGTTTATTTATTATTGTATTTTATGTATCTTAACGCTTGTAAAACAATGTATTCTGGTTTATATAGATGTTTATAAAACATTTCACTGCAGACACTTATTTAAAAAGATTGTTGCACAATGGGCACAATAATATTTTCAAATATTGATTAAAACAATAGAAATGTATCATTTGGATTTTATAATACTATGGTTATTTTTTAAAAAAAATGTTCAAGTTCTAAAAGATTTAGAATGACAATTTTCCTGATGTATAATAATGTTTTGTTCCACATCACTTAATTATCTGCTATATAAACATATGTAATACCGAATCATGATAAAAATATGTAATACCGAATCATGATAAACATATGTAATACCGAATCATGATAAACATATGTAATACCGAATCAAGATATACCGAATCATGATAAACATATGTCATACCGAATCATGATAAACATATGTAATACTGAACATATATCTCACACTTTGCAACAACTTGTATAATTATTTCGTGATGTGTTGTTATATCTAATACTAAATACCATCAATGTAAATATTACGGGCCTCCGTGGCCGAGTGGTAAAG